CACTAGTTGAGCAGTTTGAACCCTCCAACTCTTGGAGGAATTGATGGGTCTCTGCCAGACAGCAGCTTTCATAGAGAGGAGGATTGTCACCAACATGCCAAATTAGGTGTTGTGTGGGTTCAAGATATCACTGGCTTTGTTTTGCCACTATAAATAACAGCAAAAGCTCACAGTTTAAATAGAAGTGCTAATCTGAGAAGGGAAAACAAAACCAGCTCTGTGCTGGAATAGTGTTATTTCCTCTTAAACTCAGCTCAGTGTGGCTTGAACCTAAAGTAAGTGTGAGCAGGACTACAAGGCTGGAAATGTACAGCTATTTCTGGGGCTTCTCTTATTGAACACTCCAAAAATTCATATGGTTTTTCCATATCCAGAAGGGAGAAGGTGGTTTTTCCTATGGGAAGATGTTCTTCCAGGAATAGATATGCCCTGTTTTTAGAGTGGTGTAGCATCTCCAGTGATGCCTGTCCCCAACAGAGGGCACTCCTAAACTGGAGATAAGGGAACCCACCGGAGCAAAACCCTCATCTGCTCCTAGCTCTGAGAGCACGCTGGGGGTGGGACCGACTGCCAGTCCCTGCCCTGGCCACTTTGAGACCTTGTGGTACTCACAGTGGCTCCAGCACAAGCAGACCAGGAGGAGGGGTTTTCAGAGTATGAAGGATGAATGGCTCTGATAATGAAAACTGGAGGAGGTAATTAAGTGTGGAATATGACCCTTGGTAGCTTCTCTTAGTTTCTTCTCAGACTGTGGTGGCTTTTTTTTTTTTTTTTTTTATGATTTATGGCAGTCATTGATACTGCATATTATAGGCTTATTTGAATATAGGCTTAGTGTTTATTTTCCTTCTATTAATTGATGCTTTATGCTACAATGAACACAGGTAATCGAGTGGTAGTTATGAAGCTACTCAGTCATCACACTTTTATTTATTCACTTTTCCAGTGCGTATTAAAGCCAAGAGGTAATGCTGTTTAGTGCATAGTTTGATGTTTAGTCTCTTTAGAGTACTTGGCAAGTGGTTTTTATTTTTTAATCAGTTATATTAGTAAATGTGCCATCAGGGCTTGGAGACATGTAGTGTTAAAAACATGCAGACCTCAAAATAATTCCAGGAGTTCCTCCATACTACCACCTAGAAGAATGCCTTCCTGAAACTATTAGTGAAATGTTTTAGCTGTTCAAAACTGGAACTGTGCTTTCTCCACCATCTGGGCTGAATTTTGGTTGCTCTCAAACAAGGCCAATGACAACTGCTGGTATCTGATGGACAACAATTTCTCTGAGGAAAAGAAATCACAGTAAACCAAAAAAATGTGAAGTTGGTGATTTTTGGATAAGGGAAGATTCATTTAAAAAGCCCCAAATAAATTAAATATTTCATGGAATAAACTCATTCACTAGAGGATATTTATTCTCCTGCTCCCTTTTGGTTTTCTGCCCCTTCAGGGAACATCAGGGCAGGTAGGAATGAGTGTGATGCAGAAATGAACTGAGTCAAAGGTGAGGTGGAAGAAGTGCCAACAGACAGTGTATGCACTTTGCTGTTCACGGTGTTGAAATGGAGAGTAGCTTTTGTTTCACTGATATTTTTTAACTTAGTGATGACACAATATTGACTAATAAGGGGAGTAATTATGTTTTGTCAGGCAGGGCTGTTTGAAAGATGGTTGAGCTTTTTCTTCCTCTAATCATGATACTAGTGTCAAACCAGTTGTCTGTTCTGCTCAGTCAGAAGAAGGGGAAAAAAACCTATCCAGAAACCAACATTTTTACTTGCAGTTGCACCCAGTCACAACTCAGGATGTTAATTTGCAGTGGGTATCTGGAACAGAAGCTTCACTGAACCAAAAAAAAAAATGCTCTCTTGGTGCTTATACATTTGGGTTTATAGAAGAGGACTTTACTTCCTGGGTTCTTTGGAATGGAACAAAGAAAGCTGCATCATTTTAGTCTTTGATTTAGCACTTAATGTTTTTATTTCTTTTCATTCTTCCTTCACACTTCTCCCTAGCATGGCTTCTAGCTTGACTCTTCTGAATAGCATTTTTCAAAAACTGCCAAGTAATCCCAAACAGATTAGGTAAGACAACAACAAATTACAGCAGCACTTGGAAGGTACCAGCCACAGAATCCCACAGCTGGCTGGCCAAGTGCTCTTTCTCTGCTTGATCCTCATTGTGCTGGGAGACACAGCTAACAAAACTGACATTTTGTTGGTTTTGTTCTGTTTTAATTAATTGCTGCAGCTCATTAATGCAACTTAATTACACTTACATTCCCCCTTTGGCCCTTTCCCTCCCCTCCAAAAAAACCTGTCACAAAAAAAAAACCATCTTCCATGGGGATGTTGCCAGGCTTGTGCCTGGAATAAGCGTGGCTGCTCAATGGAGAAGGCAGGGACAACCCCTCCCTGTGATCCATGAAGAACTAAACCTTTTTCAGTGTCCTGCAGGGGAATTAAGGTGTGTGGATGGCTACACCAGTGTTAATTTAATGTAGCTGGGCAAATCAGAGCAAGCTCCAGCTGCTCTGAGAATGGCCTGGCATGTTGAAATGGGATAAAGCTTGGTGCTGAGTAAAGATTTGGTGCTTGTACTAGTTTTTTAGCTGCTCAGCATTACTGGAGTTAGGTCACATGACACTGAAATCCAGGACAAATGCTTATTGCCATGTCTACAGAGAATGAGGAAGGGAGCCCTGGATGGGCAGGGAGGAAGAAGGGAAGAGTTCTCAACTATAACTTAAAAAGCAAAAAAGCCTAAGTAACTCAAATGTAAAAGAGGCCCCACCAAGTTCTACACAGGCAGGGAGGAGATGAAGTTGTGTTAGGGGATTTAGGCTCTTTTCAGAACAAGGGAGAGGAGAAGGGGAAGGAACTAACTACAGAACATATGCAATGTCCCAGGGCGTTACGCAGTGCTTCCTTCTTTATGGATCCAAGGCCGCAAGGAAGCAGCTCCAGCTTCAACTGCATCTCTTGAGAGAGGCTCTTGGTGAACTTGTTCTGCCAGAGGTCTTTAGGCCTGTGTCATTTCTTGCCTAGTACCAGCAGACTGTGGTAGGAAAGGTTCGTCAGGGCACTTGGAGAATTGCAAACCAGCTGTGTGGCCGTTCTTTGATGTACATTCATTGCATTTGAAAAGAGGACAAGGAACAAAAAAATGGAATGGAGTCCACCATCCTGCATTTCCTCTGCCAAAGATCCAGGCCACAGGGGACTGTTTCCTGCAGCACCTTTGATGGTGGAGTGCAAGGCTTATCCATCCTCTGGCTCCTCTTCACTTACGCAGGCCTGTAAGGGAGGGGAAAAAAAGGTGAATGTGGGACATCAGTGTGTAGCAAGTACTTAACTGCTTACTTAAGAGAACAGAAGTGGTAGGAAAAGAATTAGGACACTTTTTTTTCCCTGTTTTGTGCTTTTAAATATGATTTCTTACAGATGAGGAATAGGATTGAGAGCTCAGAAGTAATGTGGTTAAGTAGTCTTCAAGCCTGGAAAGGATGCTATGCACATGTCAGACCTGAATATGCTGCAGTTAGGCTAAGGAACAGATAAAAGAGCCAAAGTGTTAGATCTATGGATCCCTCAGCATTTGGAGCCACATAAAACTTGGTTAGGAATTTAAAAAGCTAAGGATCATCTCTAGAATAAAGTAGCTGTGATAAAATTGCAGTGATGTGCTTTTTGTGTAGATGCAGCAGTAGAAGCAGATCTACTTTTGGAGCCAGCAGTAAAGGTGAGTGAATGTTTTTGGCTGAAACATCACCTCTTACACATGCGGCTTCAGGTTGATCAAAAGAGTTTGCATATTCATGTTCATATTCAGCAAACTGTTTGTTTGGGGAAAAGTCTACCTAGAAAGAGAAGCAGAAGCATTTTGTTTTGTGGGGGGTTTTTTCTCTCCTCAAAATAAAGTGGGTTTTTTTGTTTGTTTGTTTTTCCTGTTTAGGTAAAAGTTTTTTCTGTAGAGTATTCTGGTCATCCTTAATTAACTATGAGCTGATCTACTGAAGAACCCCCTTTCAGCCAGTAAGGGATGACTGTTGTATGGGGTCTAGTCCTTTCATGCTCATGCTCACAGCTGCTTCATGCCCATGGCCAGCAGCCACTGCACCACAAAAGATTGATTAGGGAGTATTAAAGTGAGCAATTGCCAACTGGAGCCTCAGATCACTCAATTAACCAATACCTCCTGGTGCTGCCCTGTCAATACTGAGCTCTCCATCTGGTAAAAGTCACACCCTCTCCAACCAAATGGCCTTTTCCACGGGTAGATCTGAGGAAAGGCAAGTCAGTTCTGAAATCTGGCCCCACAATTAAAATTAAAGCTCTCAAACCATTGATGTGATGTAGCACTTGGGGTGCCAGATCACAGTGAGAGTTACAGGCTGGAGCTTCACAACTGTGCAATTCACTGCTTGGCCTTATAAACACAGCCTTAAAAGGCAGAAAGATCTATTGCTCATCTCTGTACCTTTTAAATAAATAGAGGCTACCCCCTGTCACCCAGCAGGTTCTTGATTTAGCACTAAACTGTGTACAAAATCATGCTTTGAGGCTATTCTGCTTTGTAATTGAGATTGCACAGCAATGCTTTCTGAACCAGATTCGGAGCAGGCTGTCATGGGACGAAATGGATGCAGCAGGAGGGAAGTGCTGACAAATGATCAGGATGCTCTGGGCCTCCTCCTGCCTTGGCAGGTAGTGCAGGGTGCTTGGAGATAAGAGCTTTAGTGGGAAATGTCACAGCTGGCTCAGTTAACCCTTCCATGGTGCAAAAATGCATCTTTGCCTCCAGTGATGAGAACTCTGTGACTTCAAGGGAAGAAGAACAAAAGCAACCTGGAGCTGAAGTGTTTTATTATCCTTTGGCTAAGCACTTTGACACAGAAACTCAGGCACTGAAGACTTTAACATGTCTTCCATCAAGATTCCTGATATATTATTATTATTAAATAATTAGTGTAGTGTCTTGACTGGTAATCAGCAGTGAGATTAAGGGTAATTCTGTTACACAGTAAAACTTCCAGAGCAATTTTTTCCATGATAATTTGAGCCTCTTTTATTTAAGGTTGTGACTTGAAATAGTAACCATCCCAGCCAAACTCCCCTGGAGGCAATGAAATGTAGAGCAGAAACAGTTGTGGAACCTAAATAGAAATAAATGTATTTTTAGACAGCCATTTTTTGCTGTGTAAGTGTTGGAGGTACAAATTAAGATGAAGCACACTTAAATCTTGCCATTGTAAGCAACAGCACAAAATGATGGTTGATTTTTGTTGTTGTTGGCTTTTTTAATAGAGGAAAATAACAGCTGACTTGATAATTTGTCAGGTTTTCCACTAACTGGAGACTTGCAGCTGAGGTCAAGGAGGGCAGTAGATTACCATGATGAAGCTGGGAGATAACTGGATTGTGGTCTGCAAGTACCTGTTATCAGTAAAAGGTTTTGGAAGGATGTTTTTTCCTCCTAGTAGGAGGCAAAGGTATTTAAGAACTTCTTGCAGTGCAGTGGATGGAAGTTGAAGGCCAGATTTGGGGTGTACAGTTTGAATACTGGATTTAGCAGCTGATAACCACTGAATTAGGCTGCCAAGGAACTCTGCAGTTTCCCTTTAGTATCTTTGAACTGTGGCACCATATTTAAAAGTTTTCTAACTTGGGCTGTGTGTTCAGTAAAGAGATGATGAGGGTTAGTCTTGGATATAAACAGTGCTCATCAGTCCAGGTCACGTCACTGTTCTGTGGGGCCTTGGATCTCTGACAACTCGTAAATTTGGAGAGATGAAGAAGAGAGATTAGGGAAAAAATGCAAGCCAGGACAAGGGAAAGGGCACATTGAGAGGAAGGAGTGTGATCTCATCAGAAAAGGATAAATAAAACTGGAGTGAATAGGATAATTCCATTAGGGAAGGAAGGAAAGTGATCCTGTTAGAGAGTTGTGGCAGCCCAGCAAGTGCAATATCAGGATGAGGGGGTGATGCCATCCTGAAATGAAAGCTCATGGCTGCAGTCAGCTGCAGGTCAGTAGCTGTGTGGAATACATTTGGTTTTGTTCAGCATTTCCATTAACAAAAAGGAGTTAAAACCAGAAAGCCCATGTTCCCTATCCCTAGCTCTTCTACAAATTTACACTTCAAAGAAGTTGCATGGATTTGTTGTTTTGCATCTTTTTGAATAGGATATTAAAAAAAAACATAAAAAATACCTTCAAGTCATCACTGAAGGATTTTCACAGCAGGACAAAGGCATCTGGCACTCAGTGCCCCAGACTGCAACACTCCATGGCATCATTAGTTGAGAATCAATTATCCCTTCCTCCTCTCCCTCCCCCTCATACATGTGGAAGAAAGGCAAGAGTGAGGCTGAAATAACTAAACAAACAAAAATTGCTGTTTGGTGGCTGCTGTGAAATTTATAGAGGGTCACTTTATCTACTGCTCAGCAGCTGCTTTCATGTCCTGTTAGCCAGGAAGAAATATTACTGTGTGGTGGCAGAAGCCATCGACAGAGAAGTGATGGGCTGAAGAACGGGAGTGAGGAACAGCCAAATTATCTGTGCACTTCAGCAGCAGCTTCCCATCTTACTGAGGCCCTGGAAGGAAGTCTTACATTTCTAAGTTCTGTCTGTAGTCCAGTCTCCCCACATGGAAAACTTCATTTATAAGTGATAGCCCCTTTCATGAGCAGAATTGGTCATTAAGAAAAAAAGCAGCCCAAACCCAGCACTGTAAAAGTGTGTGATGTTCCTTCAGCACGCTGCTGCATTGAGGGAGTAAATCAGGGAGCTGCTTAAGGCTCCACAGCTTCTGCAGACTATGAAAAATTCCACTCCACTGTGACAAAATGAGAGAGAAATCAATATTTAATCTCCTGTAGCATCCCTTGTAATAACAGAACAGAACCCCAAAGTTACAGGAAATTCAACTGCTTTGCAAAAATTACTTGCTCTTCTGATCTTGTTCTGCAGTGACAAAGTGGGCAGTAAGTCCTTGTGGAATTAGAGGGGCACATCTACCCATCTATTTGGGGGGAGTTTTTCCTCCCTCAGCCCCAGTCTTCTCCCCTTCTTTTTGGCAAGAGTGTCTGGTAACATTATTCCCCAAAACAACCTCCCTTAGCAGCTGCTTTAAAAACATTCTATATGTTGAACTGCCACTTATAGGTCAATTTAAAAAATATAAAAAAATCACATCTCCTTGCTGTTTTAAGCAGACAGTGCTGGCCTTTATGTTCCAGAATCTTATTAAGAACCAGCTTTTAAGTGGACAGAGTGAAACTTTGATCTTGTGCCTTTAGCAGCGGGAAGGGATTATCAGAGGGCAGAAATGGGAATTCAACAATGGATCTCTATTACTGGTATGAGAGAAGCTGCTGTGGAAAGCTCCCCCTTCTGCTCCCTGCTCTCAGCTGAACTCTTGGGCTGCCCCACACATGGAAGCTTCAGTTCTTGTAGACAACAGAATTTAAAATAAACAAATAATAAAAAAAAAATTTTAGGAGCAAAACCTGTGCTATCCTGAATACAAACCATCTAATGCTCATTTAAATTTAATTCACTGGAGCATTATCTTTGTACCCTCCAGGATCCCCAGAAGTGCAAGCAGGGACAGGGAAACCCTGTTCCCAAGAGAAAGTCAAATTTTGTGGTTAAAATGACAGGGATGTGTAGGTCAGAGCTCAGTTATGACTGTCCACAGAGCTAAGTACAGCTTAAATAACTCGATGTTGCAGAAATTTTACTCCAGTACAAATCTTTCGTGGATGCTTTGCCTGACAGACCACAATTTAACCTTGACAGTGAGGATCACGTTCTGCTTGTGCTGTGGCTGACCCTTTCTTCCTCACAAGCTTCTGCCTTGACCTGCTTGGGAACCATTCATGGCTAAAAGAACCCTCCCTTTGCTTTCTTCAAGGAAAAGGCACCCAGTAGGTTGTTTACAGTAGCATCCTATAGCTGGCCCCACTGTTTCCTATCCAACAGCACTGCCCTAAGCCAAGCACAGCAACTCCAGCTTCACCCTGGGGCTGAGCAGGGGCTGCTTCACCCCTTCTGGTGTCCATTCCTTCCTTCCTTCTGTGCCTGAAAAGCCTGTTGGAGAAATCAACCTTCGAGGAGGGGAAAAAAAAAACCCAAACCTGTGGTACCCTTGGGCCACCAAACCAAGAGACACGTGCAGCCTCTTAGCACAGGAGATGATACTTACAGGTATGTCTGCTTGAACAAAAGGTTGGTGGGTTTTTCATTGACATGGTAGAGAGGAAATGGATCAAATCCACCAATGAAATCAACTGAAAAAAAATCAAAACTCAAATAAACAAACAAACAAACCAAACATGGCCAGAAAGTCGAAAGGAAATGAGAGAAAGGGTTGGATGCATGTCATGGCATAACACAAAAATCAGTGACAGAACAGAAAAATGGGTTTTCAGGTATGGATTCCTGGGATGGGCAAATGTGCCAAAGAGGAGATTCAGCCAACACAAGACTTAGAGCAGAGCTAACAAAAGACTCCAGAAAAAACAAAACCCTCCTTGGAGATCGCCGGCACGCTGTGACTTCACATGAGAGCGAGCTGACAAAGCCTCAGCCATTCCACTCTGAGCCGAAGGGAGGAAGCTGGGAATGGCTCCTGAGTGGATGCCAGGGAGAAGCTGGCAGCACAGCAATCCCCTTGAAGGTTATACAGTGAAGTGGGAATTTTCTTGCCCCACTTGTCTTTCCTGCAAGACAACAGCAGCTTTGGAAAACTGCAAGCACCTCATTATCTTGGGCTCTGATGTTTTTCACGTCCCCTCTGCCAACTCCATTTCTTTTAATTGTGTACAAATAGGAACAATGCTCCCCTTCTCCAGCGTTCACAGAAGGGCAACGTAACTCAGCAGGGAGAGTTTTAAGTGACAATTCCCTTAGTAACCAGAGAAGCAATTTCCAAGCCTGTCTCATTTCCCCTGACATCAGGCCAAGCCTGTGTCACTGAGCTGGCCAGCACAGCCAGGGCAGGAGGGGTGTGATGGGGTGTGATTTGTGACTGACCTTGCAGGCCTTGCAAAACCCTTCAAAATGGATTCAGCTTAAACCACTTTTTGGTGCCAAGTTAGTGCATTTTTTTTGAAAGTGTGAAAGCCATCCTGTCCAAGTGCCATTTAAAAATGATTGGAGAGTCTTATTAACTACATAAGTGCCTGTTTACTTTTCTTTCCTGAAGGTGGCACTATTATTTTAAATTTTAGCTGAAGAGTTTTGGTATTTTCTAGTGGTCAAACAACAGAAGAAAATATTTACTGATATACTGAATGTTAAAAAAAAAAAAAAAAAACTCTTAAAAAATATATTTAGGAACCCAAGGGCAACAGATTCTGAGAAATTCCATCTTGATGGAGAGCTTCATGCTGACACAGTGATTTTGGAACAACTGTCAGGTAACGGGTGAAACCTGTAGAGGTTCTAAGTTAATTGTGGGGATAATTCCCAAATAGTTTCAGTGAGACTTGACCTCTCCTCAGCCACTTTTTGAAAACATTTGAGTATCTTAAAATCAAAAAAAGCTGCACTTCAAAAAAAAAAAAAAAAAAAAAAAGACACGTTATTACCTCAGTTGTGAAATTTCTAAATTAGGAAACCTCAAAGAACTGCAGTTTTGAGTAACTGTGTAGTACCTTGAACAAACACAGGTCCTATCATCTGACTATCTATGGGAGAAGGGTTGGGTGCATTCAAAATCCAAATCACTTTAAAAAAAATAATCTTGTGTGGTTCATTGTTGCAGTATATTATAGTCCATTAGCACATCTAAAATATTCCTGCCCACAAATCAGCATTAGTAGATCCCTACTGCTGTGTTTTCTCATGAAAATCACGTTAGCATGAGCTTCCTGATTAATGTGCCTCAGCACTTATAATTACTTCATGCTGCATATCAAAGCAACATTTAAAGGAAACCACAAATGGAAGAGAAAATTAAAACGCAGCTCAAATTTATTCAGGTCACTGGAAGGATCTACCCCTGCGAGTGTGAAATATTGATGGTTTGTCATTGTTAATTATTCAAGCTGGCATTTTAACTCCAAGCTGGGAAACTGGGAGGGAAAGTGAATTTGTTAGTGGGGAAAAAAAAATAAATATGTATCCTGAAATTAACAGCTCTGTGTTTCTAGATAAAGCTTCCTTCCATGTGGTTGCCTCTCCGAACAGATCCCTACTAAAAAAATGAGCTCTGTCAAGTTCTTGCTTTACAATATTCAGCAGGGGCTCAGAACTGAAGCTTTTTAGCTAATAGAAGAGCTATAGGGTAATTTAAAAAATATTACTATAATGTAGCACCTTCTCTAAGTGCACTGCCAAGCTCTAAAAAAAAAAAAGATCAATAAAGCCACTGGAATGAGTTCAGCCACACAGGAAGGAAATAAAAAAAAAACACATGAGAACAAGTCAGACAAGTAATGCATCTCCTCTCACTCCTATGAAAACACATTCTTCACACACTTTTAAATATTCAGTTCAAAGCTGTTGTTTTTCAGCTCTCATCCATGCCAGCTGCTCTTTAAAACAACAAAATTACTTGCACAAACCTAATCAATGTCCTAAAGAATTGATACTTGGATGTAAAACCTGTGGATCAGACCCTGAGCTGGAGTAAACTGGCTTAGGCCCAGCCCACTGCCAAAGAAATCAAACTTCACCTTCATTTTAACTCTAGGCATCCATTCTTCTGTGTGTAAATTACTGGCCTCAAAATTTTGAGTTTGAGAAAGGCAGAGTAATCCAGGGTCAGGTTATGGACACCTGCACAGATCCCACAGACCCAGGTGATGCCCCTGAGTCTTTGCTGACACACGTCTAGTGACGGCACTGAAGAGATTTGTGTACCAAACACAAGGGAGTTGGAGTTGGCTCCTTCCTCCTTCTAATTCAAACACAGTACTTCCTCTGCTCTTAAATTAAGTGGTCAGATTGGTCCTTGGCAAGAAATCTCATGTTCTCCTCCATCCTCAGCCCATGGCACGTGAGACTCAGCAGGTCACCTACTTGAGCACTGGGATGAATTCTTTGTCGAAGGTGCTCTTAATCACAGCAGTCATATTTCAGTAGCATAGTCCTTAGCTATACAAGCTCAAGAACAGAAGCAGCTGCCCAGTTTCTGTAAAGCTTAGTCCAGCTGAGAAGCCAAAAACAAGCTCTTAAATGGTGGAAGTGTAGCGGAATGACAGCATCTAACACACAGTGACATGGGGGGAAAAAACCCTCACAGTAAAACCAGCTGATCCTGGAGAGGCAGGTAGTGCCATATCCCATAGAGGCAGAGATGGAAAGAAACCTGATAGCAACTCAGCCCTCACAGACAGACATCTGAGAGAGAAATAAAATTCACTATAACCTTTGCCAAGGGATCTGCTGATAAATACTTACAGCTGTCTTCTTCTTCTGTAAAAACACTAACGACGTAACAGGCGTAGACAAAGCCCACCAGCTGGAAAATAGAGAGAATAAATCATTTCAGAATCAGCCCGGTCAAAACCGGCTCAGCAGCACTTCAACAGCCAGTATTTACACCCCTCTTGGCGGTGTTACTGTAGTGGAGGAGCCAAGTCTTATGTGCTGTAGGCAGGGGGTGCAGGTGTAGGTGTCAGGGAAGACACTGATGGAGCACAATCAGAGCTTGACAATAAAAACTTGCAAGGCCCACCCTCACCTTCAGAGTAGCAGCATGCAGCTGTGTGAATGACTGGCAGGAACATGGGCTGGCTTTGCTGAGACTGAAACTCTCTGTAAGAAGTGAGGGGGATGCAGGAGAGGGCCTTGTGTAAGGTTTTAGACAGATGGTTGCATACAGGAAACACACAGGGGGAGGTTTTATTAGGAGGTCCAGGGACAAGAACTCATCAGCTCTGCATTCCTGTCATATGGGGCATGCAAGGGAAGAGACACTGGAATCTTTAGTAGCTCAGCTGGTAGTTTCTTGAAGCTCTAACACATCAGAACTGCCTCAGTCAGCCTCAGTAGCAAGTTGTTAGCCTGAACAGAGAAACAAATTTCTGGTACTATGGGACTTAAACATTCTAGATCCAGAAGGGTCTCATTTTGCTTTGCCTTCTTCCTGTTAATCAAATATCCTCTCCATCCTTCATTTTACATCTTTACATAACACCCCACTTAGCGAGATCGTGGTTGACAGTAACTGTGTTAGTAAAGTTCTTGTGAGGCATAATTGTTTTCCACTGTGAACTCAATTCTTTCGAGCAAGAGTCAGCCTGTAACACGCAGTGACTCACTCCAAGGGGAGACAGAATGATGCATGGTGGGGCTTGAAAAGTAGAGTCCATTCATTTTTAATATGACAGAAAAATACATCACACCAGAAAACAAAAGGCAAGATAATGAGATTTCTACTGGGGAGTTATACAACATTCGTGGCTCTTCCAGCTCTCCCTGACAAAACATGCGTTGTTGGAAAGGAATTGGAATGGTTCCGTAGCATCACTAAACTCTGCTTTTCCTTTACATTCTTCTATAACCATCTGAAAGACAAGCCAGCTCACTCCCTGTCCTCTTGGGTGAGCCTTATGGAAGCACATCCCAATACCTCTGTGGAGGAGGGGGGAGCTCTGGGGACTCCCTCATTCCCCTGCTGTGCATTTCTGAAACCAGGGCTGCTTCAGGCTAAGTTTCAGTGAGAGACAGGGAAAAATAAATCCCCTGGGTGTGATGCTAACCACAAGACCACGTGCAATGGCCAGTCTAATTGTCCCTGCTGACTTTCAGAATTGCCTCTGAGTAGAAGCATCACTTTTTAAAGGCAGACAAAGCTAAACAAAACAATCAGAATATCAGAGATTTTTTTTTTCACTCTGCTATTGCCTGTACTGTGCTAACATAAAACCTTAAGTGGTTTGGTTTTTTTCTTTAAGTTT